AGGTGGCAGTGGCCACTGGCGAAGCCAGGGCTGGTCCTGACTGCGTCCAGTCGGGCCTGAGTGTTGTGTGGGCTGATGACAGTTGCTTTTACATAAAGCGAGCTCAAGTGTTCTGTCATTGGTGTGTTGCAATTGCCCGAGCGGATGTTGTCTGTAGAGGCACGTATTTATGTGGCACTTAGGCAGGCGTGCTTTTTTGGACGCATGTGTACACGCGGGCGTGTGCGCACATGTGTACGTACTGAGTAAGCTGCGATCAACTCTCTTGTCCACCGGCACGCGTGAGAATAGGGGACGCTGACGCAGCTGTTATCGGTTAGCCGGAAGCAGTTGCGAGGTCAAACTTCGAGGGGGTAGGGGCGCCAATGAATGGAAGCATTTGAACAGTTGGAACGGCCTGACTTTGGGGCAGCGAGCCTTGGGGAACGAAGGGGGGATAGGAATTGTGGCTGTCCGCCACTAAATCTTCGCTTCTTCTGAAGGAGTCTCGTCAGTGCGCGCGGGTGTATGTATAAGTAGACAAGAGGGTGCTCGCTCGTCTAGCGAAGTTACAACAGCAACTACTTTGCGCACCTAGCTTGTATACCCTAAGGACAGGGTTGGCCATTTCAACACAAAGGAAGCCGCAAATAGTAGAGAATATGCTGATTCCAGGAAGTAGTTCGAAAGAAGAGGATGCAATCACTGGAACAAGAGTTTTATTTTCCTGACGCTTCGCATTCCATCGAGAATCCGTAATCTCAGGTTATGAAAGCATAATCATGGTCATTACCTATGATTAAGGATTCTCGATGGAATGCGAAGCGTCAGGAAAATAAAACTCTTGTTTCAGTGGTCTCATCCTTAAGAAAGGAAGTCGTCTGTGTGAACTGTGTCCTATGTGTACTGTGGGTGATTAATAAACGAACAGAAACGACGTCATTTGAATAAACCTCGTACAGACGCAAGAAATTCAAAGATGATAAGATTTTTTAAATCAAGAATGGCCTTTCTTTGAGTCACAATCTGAACGAATACCTGATTTGCTGTCATATAGATTGAAGAAAATATATTTTGCCTATGTTTTCTATAAAGGTGTTGGAATTTCTAATGGTGTCGAAAACCTCTGAAAAGGGAATGCATATTACCTTAGACGTTTTTTTATCGATTGCGTTTTTTTTTCAGCAATTTGAAAAAGCGTTTACTCCACTGTCAACCTCTTGGTATGGCTGACCAATGATAGGTTTATTCTCCAAGAATAAACCATTTTAATCATCTAAAACGTATTTTAACACTAGCTAATCTTATATGAAAGCGATCACTGACTGCACTCTTACTACGCAGTCATCTATGGCTTTGAAAAGCCCTCGCAAATGCCAAAGATGTATTTGATTAACACGTCTGCTTCCCCTAGTAATAAGCTCGCATGCGACGCTGTTTACAAAGCTTTAGACCCACCGCACTGACTTCTTTTTGGCCAAACATTCCTTGCAGTTTGTCTCCCTCTCTTTTCCTTCAAGGACTTGGAAGGTTGGCTGCTAAATTTGAGTACAGTCCTTGCGCCACTGGATCAGCGTGTACGCGACTTTGAGCAACTGCCGATCGCTTTGCAGAAACTCTCTGACTCCCTGACGCACGCGGACAAAATGGTGGCCATTATGAAGGCCTTCCAGATCCCACCACCGGAGGAGAAGCCCGCTAATACCACCACCACCACCACCACTGAAAATGCCACCGTCGGCGAGGTTGGTGAGGCCAAAGAGAACGCCTCGACAACTTCGTCGCCTCCCCCACCGCCACTCCTTCACGTCTTCTCAGAGGCTGAAGTCAAGGTCTTTGAGGGGTTGGTGAACACGACTAAGGTGCGCGCACTCCCCTGTCCCCTTGTAGTGCCTTCAGTCCCCTTGTTAGACATTCCTGGCCACTCTCACCTTGCTAGGATCCCTGTGGTTGAATTTTAGGTGTTTCTAGGCGGAATGTTATGTGCGTAGTCGAAGCGCTAACCTCATATTATAACCTGTTCTCTCGTCATGTGCCCTTACAACTTTACTACTTATTTAAGTTCGGTAGTTTGAATTGCTGTACTGTAACGTTTTACTGAATAGTGGTCGAGATGCGTGTCACCGCTTAGCATGCATATGATGAATGTATCGTCTACATTGCGCATCCAAAATCTTGGATTACCTGCGGGGAGGGCTCTAGCTTCTAATTTCTGCATTACAGCCTCTTCCAAATAGCCAGAGATTAGTGACCCGGTAGGGACACCTTTTTGTTGTATGTAGTATTTCCCATATAACGAAAAAATTGTTTCTAGACAAAGGTCAAGAAGTTCTAGCAGGACATCTGCAGGTACGTCTGTAGCGTAAGCTTATAGGAGTTCCGAAACAACGTCAAAAGTTACCATAGTTTCGTCCTTTGCAATTTTAAAGTCTTTTATCCTCTCTGGAAATTGCATTGAGTTTCGATGGAGGTATCTGAGTTTTTTGTAAGTGGATGGAGTTGATGAAGTAACCATTTGAAAATGTTGTAGTTGGGTGCACCGATTAGGCTGTGAAATAACTTGCTATAAGGCTCTCCTAGTGCTAGATTGCCTTCTCTTCCCCTCACATGCGGATTTTTGGAACAAAAGTCGGGCAAACCAGGCGCGCGTCATGACACAATCACTACC